AAATGAAGTGGAATAAATGAATGGAATAAGCCTTTGAGGTGCTTTGCTGCTGCCTCTGTAATTGGAGTCTTTCAATACTGATTCCTCTGGGGTCTCTATGGAAACAGCAGCATGCAGATGATCTCACTCACGTGATGCGAGTGTCTCTATAGATTGCACAGAAGAGTCCAGATGGCAAGGATTGTCCCCACTGTCCTGTGCCTACCGTTTAGGTTGCCAGGCAACTGGCTTTGGCATTCTGGTTTCATGTGCCTGATGTTTGGCGACAGCCACCATTGCTTATTCATTTCTCAGGTCAGTGTTCCTTGGACTTGCTGTGTCACACATCACATACTGCAGCAGAGGGGCTCTGCTGCTCCCTGCAGCAGCACCCGTGCTTGTGTGTAAAGCCCCACTAAAAATGGGTCAAGATGACCAAATAAAAACTAAGACTTGGCTTTTATACACCTTCCCATTAGCAGAAGTGCCTGAACGTGAGGATAAAGGTACTGACCCACTTTACAGAGGTAGGAGCTGAAGAGTGAAGGAATTTGCCAAGGTTATGCAGCAAGTCAGTGATGAAGCAGAAGGCAAATGGTCTCTGGAGTATTGCTCTTCTGCTCAGGTCCCTGGATAACACTGCCAGGCAGAAGCACACGAGCTGTTAGTCTGTGTCCAACACTTGCAGGGAAGCTGCAGGGAATCCAGCCCAGAGTTTGGAATACAGCTCTGCCCGGAAGAGAACCGAAGTCTCCAGTAACAGGTCCCCTCTCCAGCCTGCATCCAAGCAACACCTCACAGCAGAGGAGCTATTGCCCAGCAGGTTTTTAACGTTTTCTTCCTGTTGCTAAGATGTACTGACCCGTAAACACCACATTGGCCACTTGAACACCTCAGAGAGCAGTTGCTGAAGTTACCAAATGGTTTCTTACCATAAATAGTCTGGCAAAGCTGTGGGTACCTCTGCTGCAGCTGCACCAAGGTGAACACAGAGTCCAGGACGCAGTGACCTGTCCTGGGAGTACCTGTCTGCAGTAAGGCATGGAATGGAGGTGCTGTTAGCATGGGCTCTTCAGAGTGCAGGGGGCAGATGATAAGAGAACAGGCGTGCTGCAGGCTGAAAATCTCATCTGAGGAAGGGAACGTAGCAAGAATCCTGGCCTTGAGAACTGAGGGCTCATCGGGCAGAGGTGAGCGAGCAAGCCCAGAGCAGAACCATCTCCTCTGTTCTGGCCTCAGTACATGAAGCCCTGGGTCCACAGCAAAGCTAGCAGGGAATACAAGGGAAGTGTGGCTCAGCCCCCAGAGCTGGTAAAGCTGGCAGAAATAATGACTGCTGCTTTTCCTCTCTGAATAGGAAATAAAACTCTTCCTGGATCATTCTCATGCAAAATAGAGCAAACAAGGAAGTTGTTAGAGTCTGGTTCCATTTCAGCCACAATGGAACCTGGGAAACCAAGGGTTCATATATAAGCTGAAGGAAGCCCATTATTGTTTATTGCCAGGTAGGATCCTTTCTGTAGACTCTTCCTAAGCATCTGCCATTGGTGTCCTAGCACTGCAGTTCCCGTCTGCTCCAATACAGTAGCAGTTCTGGCTCTTGCTTTGAGTGTCCCCTCCCTGTTTGGTTCTCCTGGACCCAGAGAAGAGACCTTGGGCTCTCCCAAGTGTTCCGGTTTGGGTTTTCCCTTCCCAGGCCAACCACGGAGAGCAGCACGAGGGGCGTCACTACAGCATTCCCCTGGAGGAGGTGAGAGCTGTGTTCCCACATGGACTGCCCTACCGCTTCCAGCAGCAGGTACCTGCCTTGGAGCAGCTCTGTGGGGAGCGGAGCGGGAGGTGGGAAGAACCAGACCCATCGCGTTAGCTGGGATGTTTCCTGTTGGGATAAGAGAGCGATGTGCTGCAAGAACGCAGTCATTCCTGCTCCTTACTGTCACTGCAGACAGCAGTGGACATTGAGGCCCTGCACAGTCCCAGAGGTGGGGCCATGCCAGGAAGAGCTGGAGGGAGCCAGCACTTGGCTTCGTGTTCACGTTCTCTCCCTTTGCTCAGATTAAGACCTTCAACGAAGCCTGCGTGATGGTGCGGAAACCAGCGCTGGAACTGTTCAGCTACCTGAAGAGCTGCAACTTGGCACACCCGGCTGTCAGATACGTCATCTGTATCTTTTACCACTGCCCTGAGAGTAGAAGGCAAGTTAAATACGGGCGGGTGACTCTACCCACATCACCAGCTCTGATGTACCGGGGTGGGATGCGTAGAAAGAAGGAACTCCTGAGGCTAAGTTGTCCTGCTGAAGAGAAGCAGGATGCAATGACCCTTGAACTGCCTTCTACCTGATCCAGTCAGGGGTACACTGAACTGGTTTCTCAGAGCCTTTCCTTGACAGTCCATTTTGGAGATGGTGAGAAGGGAACAGGGAAAACCATGACCCTGTGCCACGTCATTCACTACTGCGCAAGGCAAGGCTGGCTGGTGCTGCACATCCCCGATGGTAAGAACACCGATGCTGTTGTGTTACTACATCAGCTCCGCATGGGATGTGGGAGATGCTGCTGCAAGAGGAGGGTGGAGAAGGCTTCTAAAGCACAAACCCCACCAAATAAAGTAGAACAGAATGACACTCACTTTCACGTGCTCTCACATGCTTCTCATCAGCCTCTGTGCACTGGTAGTGAGTATGACAAGATGACATACTGTGTGTGGGTCTGTGGAACCTCTTGTGCTCTCAAGGGAGAGTCTCCTCTGTTAACGATGGTTGGATTATTCTGTAGCAGAATAAGAGCCACAAACACCCCCTAACTCATAGCATGCTTCTGACTAAAAGGAAAGCAACTGTTTGACTTGGCTTTCAGCTCATCTCTGGGTGAAGAACTGCAGGGAGCTGCTGCAGTCTTCCTACAAGAAAGAACGTCTTGATCAGCCTCTGCAAGCATCCTCCTGGCTCAAGAACTTCAAAACCACCAACGAGCGCTTCCTAAAAGAGGTCTGTAGAGCCTGTCAGGTTGACTTGCTTGGGAGCTAAGAGCTTCCCACGACTGTCTCTTGCCAAAGCTGCCTTTGCACTACAGGGTTCCCAATCTAACCACAGTTCTTTGACTGCAGATAAAAACACAGAGAAGATACGTGTGGGACAAAAGAGAAAGCACAGAGCAGGGCAGGCCGCTGGGTGAAGTGGTGGAGCAGGTAGGGAGTAACAGCTGATAGCAGCTGCTTCTGGCTTTGCCTCACCTGCTCTGGAAGACCCCATCGTTGTGTGTGTGAACACACTGCGTATGCCTTGAACACTGCCAGGGGTGGAGCAGGCACCGCTTCTTTGATGCTCAGACCCTCAGACCACATTGCTCCTTTGCAAGGAATGAGCAGACTGACTCCTGTTTCATCTTCCTCCCCCTTAGAGAGCCACCAGAGCTCTGTGTTACCAATAACCCCACCTGCGTTTTGTGCCGTCTCCTCCTGGCAGGGTTTAGCTCGTGTGAGAAGCGCCAGCGACGCTGTCGGGGTTGTGCTGAAGGAGCTGAAGCAGCAAAGTCACCTGGGCTCCTTCAGGCTGCTCGTGGCCGTGGACGGCGTCAACGCGCTCTGGGGACGGACGACCTTAAAGAAGGAAGACAAAAGCCCCGTAAGAAGAGCTCTGCTCTGATGCTGTTCCTGCAGTCCCACTGCAGGGGGTTGGCCAGGTATTCCCTGGTCCGTTTGGCTTTGCTGGCATGGAGGGACCTGCACAGGCTGGTGCCTGAGAGTCCTCACTGCAGGCAGCTCCTCACTAAGACAAGTGCAGGAACACCTTGTTACAGCAGGGGAGGGCTGGGCACTTCCCCGGGTCCCATCACTAAGGCTGAGTGCTCCTGAAGGCTGCAGCTGATCCCCTTCCAGTGGGATGTGAAGCAGGGGAGGGGAATTGAGGTCTCAAACTCCTGGCAACAGCAAGTGACCCAGACACTGCTCACCAGGTCTCTCCAGAGGAGCTGACGCTCGTGTACAACCTCAGGAAGATGATGAGGAATGACTGGGTGAGTTCTTCTCTACCTTTGGGGGTGATCTCCTTAGCAAGTAAAGGTAGATGCCAAGAACATCGGACTGTGCTAATCCCAGCCTGGTTTGGGTTGAAGGGACCTTAAAGCTCATCCAGCTCCAACCCCTGCCACAGGCAGGGACCCTTTCCACTGGAGCAGCTTGCTCCAAGCCCTGTGTCCAACCTGGCCTTGAGCACTGCCAGGGATGGGGCAGCCACAGCTTCTCTGGGCACCCTGTGCCAGCGCCTCAGCACCCTCACAGGGAAGAGCTTCTGCCTAAGAGCTCAGCTCAGCCTCCCCTCGGGCAGGTTCAAGCCATTCCCCTTGGCCTGTCCCTGCATCCCTTGTCCAAAGCTCCAGGTTCCCTTTAAGTGCGGAAGCCCCCAGCTCTCTCCCAGCTCAGAGGGTTTCTAATCTGCCTTTCAGACCGGAGGTGCCATCGTGACCACGCTCAGCCAGACCGGCTCCCTCTTCAAGCCCAGCTCAGCCTATCTGCCCCAGGAGCTGCTGGGGAAGGTGAGCCCGGCCTCTCCTGCTGCTCGAACCGGCTCTGCTGGAGCGGGGCTGGGCCGGCTCCCTGCTCCAACCCCACCTTTGCTTCCCAGGAGGGCTTCGACGCCCTGGACCCCTTCGTGCCCATCCCAGTCCCCAACTACAGCCCCAGGGAGTTCGAGAGCTGCTACCGGTACTACCTGGACCGGAAGTGGCTGCAGCACGAGAACGGTGAGCGCCGCCCCACGGCCCCGCACACCGGGGCGGGAGGGGGGGGTTCCCCGGAGCCGCGCTCACCGCGCTCCTCGTGTCTTGCAGCGCGCACGGAGCACGGGAAGGAGGAGCTGCGGTTCCTGAGCGGCTCCAACCCGCGGCAGCTCGAGCGCCTGGCGGCGCCGCTCTGACGCAATAAAGGCGGCGACGGCGGCGCGGGTCCCGCACGCTCCGGTGTCCGCGTCCGTTTGTGCGGGGCGCGGTGCTGACGCGCTTCCCGTGCCTTGGGGTGGGGTGGGGGGGTGCGGGATGCGCATGCGCCGCGGGGCACGATGCCGGGCGAGGCGGTGACGCTGCAGCTGGGGCCGTACGCGGGCAGCGTGGGAGCGCACTGGTGGGGGCTGCAGGTGCGGGACTGGGACCGGCACCGGGGAGGGAGCGGAGCGGGGCGGGGCGGGACCGGGCACGGCTCTGACCCCTGACCCCGACCCCCGCAGGCCGCCGCGCTGCGCCGCCCCGCAGAGCCCCCCGAGCTCCGCTCCTCCGCGCTGCTGCGCTCTGCGCAGGCGCCGGGCGGGAGGGAGGAGCACGCCCCGCGGCTCGTGGCGCTGGAGCTGAAAGGTAACGGGGGGCGGGGCCTATGGGACTGAGGGGCGGGGCCAAGGGGACTGAGGGGCGGGGCCAAGGGGACTGAGGGGCGGGGCGACCCCGCCGTGACCGCGCTCTCCCGCAGGCGGAGCGGGCGCGCTCGGGACCGGAGACGGGGGCGCGGAGGCTCCAGTGACCTGGTGAGTGCGGGGGGGGGAGCGGAGGTACCGGTGAGTGCGGGGGGGGGGGAGCGGAGGTACCGGTGAGTGCGGGGGGGGAGGAGCGGAGGTACCGGTGAGTGCGGGGGGGGGGGAGCGGAGGTACCGGTGAGTGCGGAGGTCGCGTGGGGAGGCTCCGGTGAGTCCCGTTTGCGTTGCAGGAACGGGGCGGTCGCCGCTTACCTGGAGCACGGCCCGGGCGGGGCCTCCGGCGGCGCGGCTCAAGGTGCGTGCTCGGTACCCGCGGGCTGGGGCGCAGGGAGCCCGGGGCTCCCCCAGCTCCGATCCAGGGACCGCTCCCAGCGGAGCGGGGAGCTCCGAGCCCTGAGCACCGGCAGGGATGGGGCGCGGGTGCTGTCCCGAGGGGCTTGGGCTGATGCTGGCTCCGTGCAGTGGGCGAGGGGGAAGAGGGTGGGATCAGAGCTGCTGCTGGAGCAGGAAATGGGTCAAGGAACTGAAGGAGAGGAAAACAAAACCGGCTCCTTCTCACCCCAGGGGCGGTTGAGAGCTGCAGGAGCTTCCCTCTTCCCATCTCGTTCCAGGTCCGGCTCCTGCCCCTTCCCCTCTCGCCGCTGCCCAGGACGTTCCCTCGGGCAGGAATGCGCAGCTCTGGTCCCATCACCTCAATGTGCAGCTGCATCCCAAGAGCCTCTACGTCATCCGGCAGTACATGCACGATGGGTATGGCCTGGACTCGCTTGTCCGGGACGAGGGCTTCGTTCTGCCTGCAAGGAGGAAGCGAGAGGGGAACGGAATCAGCTTCGTTCTGATCCTGCCTTTACTCCATAGGGACTGCGGGTGTCTGGAAGCCTTTGCCCAAGGTGAAGGGCTCCTGCAGGACCCGGCCTGCATGGAGGAGCTGGAGGATCGCTTGCACTACTTCACTGAGGAGTGCGATTCCCTTCAGGTCCGAGCTCGGCCCCTGCTGCCCTCTGCTTGCAGGCCCCTTCCCGTTGAGGCTCCCAAGGCTCTCAGGTGCTGCCCTTGTTCTGTGCAGGGCTTTCAGGTTCTCTGCGACCTCCACAGCGGCTTCTCGGGGGTGGGCGCCAAGGTGACGGAGCTGCTCTGTGATGAGTACTCGGGGAAGGGAATCCTGAGCTGGGGCTTGGCGCCAGCCCTGAGCAGCGTGGCTGTGAGTAGGCAATGGGAGAACCCGGGCCGGGGGCGGAGGGGGCCCTGGTGCAGGTGGTAACGGTTGGGCTCTCCCCCTCCAGGATCCCCAGCGGAGCGCGTACAGGCTGATGAACACGGCCCTGGGCATCGTCCAGCTCTCCACTCACAGCTCCCTCTTCTGCCCCCTGTCCCTCAGCGGGAGCCTGGGGCTCAAGCCACGGCCTCCTGTGACCTTCCCCTACCTCAGCTATGATGTACGTGAGCTGCTCCCTGCTTTGGCCCTGAGGCTTCACCCCTCCCTGTAGCAAACAGGACCCCAATGCCTTTGTGCTCCTGATGCGCTGCCCCAGTGGCAGCAGGGACAAAGCCCTTGCCTGCGCTGCTCCTCCTGCAGCCTTGGCTCAGCATCCGAAGTTGCTGACAAGAGGATGGGCGCCAAGCAAAGAGCCTGAGCTGTTAAACCAGCGCCTCCACAGGAGCCCGGTTCACATCTACACACACACAGGACCCAATGGACCCTGCCCTGTCACGTCTCCCTTTGTGTCCCCCCGCAGGCCTCCCTCAGCTACCACAGCAGCGCCGTCCTGGCAGCGGCCCTCGATACCCTCAGTGTTCCCTATCGGCTCAGCTCCTCCCAGGGCTCCATCCTGCACCTCGCTGAAACGCTCAACTTCTCGGGGAGGAAGGTGAGGGTTAAAGGCCAGCGGCGCCCGTCAATGGGAGCTGCTCTGCTCCACGTCCATCCCCATGCAGGGGATGCGGCTTCCAGGCCATCACTCACCCCTTGCAGGTTGCGGCTGCCTGGGCCTCTCTTCCCTTCCCTGCCCTCCACGGCTCCTCCCTCCGCGATGCTTTGTGCGCGCACCAGGACGTGCCCTGGGAGCTCCTGGCTCCGTGCAGGGAGCGGAAGGGCAGCTCCTGCTTCGCTCAGTCCGTTGTGCTCCGAGGGCTCGGCAGGGGCAGACCCAGGTGAGGAGCACCCCAGCTCCAGGTGGCGCTCACCCTCCCTCAGTGGCTCCGTGCCCCCCAGGCCCAGGCGGGTGCCGTGGCTTGGCTCTGAGCTGGTTTCCTGTGCAGCAGCTCTGCAGGGAGCCAGCCCCGCTCTCCCCTCCGTGCCTGTGGGAGCTCTGAGCACGTCCTGCAGCGTTACTTACACACCGCGTTCCCTGGGGCCTTCAGGTGGGTAACGGGGGGTTAGGTTTGGGGTTAGGGCAGGGAGCGCTCAGCTGGGAGAGCTTGGGGTAACTTCCTTCCCCTTCGTCCTCACAGCACATCCCACGTGCTTGAGCAGCCCTGTTACACCCCAGCTCCGTACCCCCAGTTCTTCTCTCCTCGTCTCAGCAACCAAGGCTTCCTCCTGGAGCACGCTCCCACTTCCTCCCCAGCAGGTAAGGGGCACCCTTCAACTTGCTTTGCAGCAGAAGAGCTGATGTGGGGCTGGGAGGGGACAGAAAATGACCCCAAAAGCTCCCCTTTGGGTGGTTGTGGGGCACAAAACCCAGCAAAGCACTGGCTCTGTTGACACGAAGCTCTTGTCCCTGCAGCTGTGGAGAGCATCCCCGTGCTGGCAGCGCTGCGCTCTGCCCCCGTGCTCCACACGCTCCTCTATGGCTTGTACAAGGACCTGCAGAGGCTGAACGCGCGGCGCTGCCCCAGTTTCTTCTCTGCTGGCGTGGAGCAGGAGGAGTTCCAGGAGGCCTTGGAGCAGCTGAGGACTCTGGCCCAGTGCTACGAATGGGAGCTGGAAGCGCAGGGGTCCGGAGGTGAAGCAGACTCAGACTGAGCTTTATTGAGGAGGAGTCGCTCTCGGAATAAAGGGAATGGTTTTGGGGTGGCCCCGCTGCTGCTGGCGTCTCCCTCAGCTGAGCCCTGCAGCTCCCTGCACTCGGGCTGGGAAGGGGAAAGGGGGGGTTCGATGGCCGGGGCCTTTCTTCACCTCTGCTCTGCCAGACTCAGACCCCACAATAAATACAGAGCTCAGGGCAGAGCCTCCCCACCTCCCGTCAATGGAAAGGGAGAACCTAAACCCCCCCCAGTTGTGTTTGTTCCACAGGAAAACAGACATCCTATATACAACATTTACACGGGTCAAAGGCTGTGGGGTGCACAAGCATCCGTTCCGCTGCTGGAGGTCCCCATGGAGGTTCTAGAGGCTCTCGCCCCCAACACCTTTCTCCAGGCCTTTAGTGCAGCTTGACAGGAGTACAGCAGGAAAAGGAACCCCAAACCACCCCGAAAGGTGCCATCTTCAGTACCTGTGCAAGCCTTTTTCCTTGCCCCACAGCACAAGCCTAGCAGCAAACTGGCAAACAGCTCCCTTCTGGTGCAGGCGGGAGCTTTCCAAGCCCAAACCAGCCCTCAGTCATCAGGTTCCTCCTCCGAAAGCAGCAGATCCTTGTCCGAGAGCTGGTCCGTGTTACTGGTGCTGGTAGCATCCTCCTCATCTTCAGAGCTCCCATCGCAGGACGTGTGGAACAGCCTCATCAGTTCTCTGAACCTGTGGGATACCTGAAGGACAAGGGGAATCCAAGGTGATGGTGCAGCAAGGGGATGGCACAGGGAGCGGGGGGGGGGTTGTGCTTCCATGTTAAACCCACAGTGGGTTTTTAGGGTGGGTTAAGGGAACTGGGAGAGCACCGAGTGCTGCGGTCTCCTTTGGCAGGACAGTGCTGTTCATTTGGCTGCACCAGGGCTTGCTTTGAGCCTTTGGTTTCCCATTGGGATTCACTCCCGGATGCAGCAGCAAACTGGGACAAGCAAAGCCCCATTCCCCCTCCCTCCGTGCCCCATTCCCTGCAGCCCCGCGGCCGGCCCTCACCTCGCCGGCTGTCTTGTTGCCCAGGGTCTGGGAGATGGCATGGAAGGTTTCGAGCTGGGCTCCCTTCTCCTGGCACGTGGTGAGGATCACTCTGTCGGCCTCCCTGCGGGACAGCACAAGAGCTGAGAGCGGGGCAGCAAAGCAAGGCCCTGCCTTGGGCCTTTACTCACCCATCCCCAGGCCTGGCTCGAAGCAGAGCCGCATCTGGCCCGGGTTTAAAGCGTGTGGAAGGTCGGAAGTGAGATCTTCCCCAGCGTTACAATGACCCTGCCCCAGGCAGAGCCGGTCTGTGCCAGAGGGGGCAGAACACAGAACCCAAGGGGCTGCAACAGGAGGCAAACCCAATGCTGAGGATGGAGACGCACCTGGTCCAGAGGACAACCCTCTCCCCGGTCGAGCTGACTTTGCTGTTCTTGGCACACACGGTGGCTTCGGTGCCTCGGTGCTGCTGCTGCTGCCCCAGGGAGGCAGGAACCCCTCTGCCCTCCTCCTGCTCCGGCTGCTGCCGCTGCTGGCCCTGGAAGCGCTCCCCTGCCTTTGCCTTTGCCTGTGCTCTGCTCTCGGTGCAGCCCCGCTCCCCCTGCTCCGGGGACCGGGACCCGCGGCTCCTCCCCAGCGCTGCTTTCCTCCAGCCCTGCTTTGCTTCCGGAGGCACCGGGGAGCCCTCGGGGTCCTTCAGCCCCGATTCTGCTGCGGGCCCAAAGGCAGGGGCTGGGGCTGAGGCCGGGTGCAGCCGCTCAGCCTGACCCGGTCCCATTGAACCCTCCTCTGCAGCAGCACCAGGGGGCAGGGGCAGCACTGCAGCTCCGTGCTGCAGGCTCGGTGCCTCCCTCCCCACAGTGCAAGGGCAGTCTTTGGTTTCCTGAGGTAGCTGAAGGGGAGCTCTGTGGGGCTGGGTCCCTGTGGGGCCGTTGCCATCGGAGTCCTTGTCCTGCACAGCAGCTCTGGCACCCGCGTCTCCAACCCGGCCCTCAGGCAGCGCAGCCTCCTCGGCGGGTTCATGGCTGCTGGAGACAATCCTGCCTTGGGGGTGAGACCCTGTGGGAAGCCCACACAAGCTGGGGTGAGAACGTGGGGAGGTTTCCTTGGGGTTAGGACATGCACTGGGAACACTGGGAGCGGCTCTGCAATCCCAACCCATCCCGGACCCCGACCCAGTCAATGTCCTTCACCGCTGCGGGTGACTACAAGCAGCTGCTGGGTGAAGGAGTGCAGGGGGCTGGAAGCAGAGGAGCTTTGAGGAGCTCTGAGGCTGTTACATACCTGACAGCGGAGACTCTGCCTTCCTAGAGGCAGTTTTTGCTTTGCTCTGGGCATCCTCTCCCTCCTCTCTGCTCTCCAGGCTTTCCTCTGCAGCCTCCTTCGATGCTCCGGAATCCTTCCCTTCAGGCTGAGGACTGGATTCCTGCTGCCCCAGGCTTGCACTGAGCTCTTGAGAGTCCTTGGTTTTGTAGAACTTGTTCTCACACACCTGCAATTCAATATAGGAGGCAGTCAGAGATGGGGCAGTGTCCAGGCAAACCTGAGACCTCAGCCTCTGCTCCCAAAGCACTCCTCGACCCTCACAAAGGCTTCAGTTGCCACTGACTCTTTTCCCTTATGGAGAGGCACCGTTCTCACCACAGAGGCCCCAAAAGCATCTTCCAGTTAAAGAGCTTAATTCTTAAACAACTCCCAAGTTGACATTAGTGAGCAGAGCAAGGAGGGGCAGTGGGGAGTGAGCAGGAGGCAGGGAGGGGAAGGGCTGCGCAGTCAGAGCTCCAAGAGGAAGATGCTGTTGGTCATCTTTTGAGTCGCTTTCCTCCTCAGCACATCAGGTTGGAGACAGGAGGCTGGAGAGATCATCACAAGAGGGGACTCTTGGCAGGGCTCTGCTTCCCACTCACGGCTCCAGCGACTGGGCCTAGCAACTAACCTTACTACTACAATGGCTGCAGGTCCTCCTTTTGCTTTTCTTTAGCTTGAGATCGCTACTCCCTTCATGGCAGGAGCATGAACATTCCTTCATCCCATCTACCCACTCGACCTCCTGGAAACAGACATACTCCAGCTGACAAATGGATGGAACACAAGGGTGAGAGGCAGGGGAAGGTGAGCCCCGGGGGGAGCAGCAGGGCTGGGCCCCTCTGCACACACCCAGAGAGGACTGAAGCGATTTTGCCGCTAGCCAAGCAAAGCACAACAGAAACCTTTCAATCCCCTTCCTCCAGCTCTTGTCCTGCCTCTCCCGTTCACCCTCATGGGCATTTGCTGAGTCCACAGCAGTGAAACACCCCAGGCCCACCTTGTCATTGTGCTGGCCGCCCATCTCCTTCCGCTTCTTTGCCCTGGAGGCTGTGTGCATCTTGGGTGGCTCCTCCTCCTCCTCCACATCTGGCAGGGACACTTCTTCAAACCCATCAAACTACAGGAGAGAAACACAACCCCTGCTCTTACCACGCCAGACCCAACTTCATCCCCCCCATGACAACTGAGCTCAGCTCCAGGACGTGACCAGTTCAACTCCATTCAAACAGACATAAATGCTGGGAAACCATAGAATGGGTTGGGGTGGGGAGGACCTTGAGATCATCCAGTTCCAACCCCTTGCCATGGGCAGGGACACGTCCCATTAGGGACTCTGCTCAGTCCACCAACAGCTATCCCAGCCCTCTGCTTCCAAGCTCTTCAAGCCCAACCAAGCCCAGTTTCTCCTCTTTCAGCCCTTGGGGTCTGAGGGAAGGTTGCTGCACCTCGTATTCCTTCTCCTCCGTCCAGTTGATCTCCTCAAAGTCCCCCATGCGGCTGGCAGAGGGCCGCAAGTGATCGAAGAAAACAGAGAACTCATCCTGCAGGTGGTCGTGGCCTTTCAGCAGCTGCCACATTTGGGTCTTCAGCTGGAAGAGAAGCACAGAGAACACAAGGATTTGTTGCATGGCAGAAAGGGTTCCTCAAAGCAAGGGGAGCATCGAGGCTGGAGAGACCCCCAGTGTGGGAGCTGATGCCTGCATTGGTACTGTTGAAGGGTGTTCTGAAACCATTCCACATCCAGCTATCAGACCTTGTAGTCTGTAGGCTTGTAGACCTTAGATCTTCCAATACCTAAAGGGGCCGCAAGAAACCTGGAGAGGGGCAGCGGGTTGGAACTGAGGGGCTTTAAGGTCCCTTCCAACCCAAACCAGTCTATGATTAGCATCGAAATCCCTCTGAAAGCCCAGGCAGACTCTGCAGCACTAAACTGGAACAGATAAAAGCAAGATGGAGGTAGCAGAGAGGAGACAGAGGCCAGTTGATTACAAAGCCTCTTGAAGGAGCAGCTTCAATTCTCTGCCCCTTGTTAAGCTCTTGTGGTCTCCAAGAGCACTGAAGCAGGGTAACTGGTGCCAAGGAGGTACCCGGCTGCCTGCTTACCTCGGTGATCTCCTGGGGCAGGCAGTCAGTGCAGCTCTGCAGGACCTTGATGATCTTCTGGTGGTGGGCAGGGTTCTCAGCAAAGCAGATCTCCAGCTGCCTGAGGAACTTGCGGCTCTTCTCGAACGCCTGCTGCTCCTCAAACTGAGCAAAGGGAGGGCACTGAGCACGCCTGCTCCAGAGCCCAGCTGCAGAGCGCCCGGCTCGCTGCTGCCTTCCCATTCCCACTGACTCCCAGTGCAGAAGTGGGAAGAGGTGGAAGAGAAACCCGTCTCTGCAGAGCAGTGTTCCTGTAAGCTTTAGAGCTTTGCTTTGTGTCAGAGGCACAGCAGACAGGGAAAGCCAGAAAGGATTCCCAACGTGGAAGGCTGATTTGTGAGCCAAGGGAACCATTCCACTGCTGTGTGGCCACAGTCATAGAATCATAGAACAGTTCGGGTTGGAAAGGACCTTCAGATCATCCAGTTCCAATCCCCCTGCCATGGGCAGGGACACCTCACACTAAACCATATTACCCAAGGCCTCGTCCAACCTGGCCTTGAACACTGCCAGGGATGGAGCATTCACAACCTCCCTGGGCACCCATTCCAGTGCCTCAGCACCCTAACAGGAAAGATTTCCCTCCTTATATCCAATCTAAACTTCCCCTGTTTCAGTTTTAACCCATTACCCCTTGTCCTACCACTACAGTCCCTAATGAAGAGTCCCTCCCCAGCATCCCTATAGGCCCCCTTCAGACACTGGAAGCTGCTCTGAAGTCTCCACGCAGCTTCTCTTCTCCAGGCTGAACAGCCCCAACTTTCTCAGCCTGTCTCCATACAGGAGCTGCTCCAGCCCTTGAGCATCCTCGTGGCCTCCTCTGGACTTGTTCCAACAGCTCCATGTCCTTTTGATGTTGAGGACACCAGAACTGCACACAATGCTCCAAGTGAGGTCTCACGAGAGCAGAATAAAGGGGCAGAATCACCTCCTTCGCCCTGCTGCTCACGCTCCCAGTCTCTGCAGTTAGATTCAGATGCTCCAAAGCAATACTGAGTAGGAGACTTAAACACTGATTAACAAACCACTGAGGCAAGCAAAGGACTTAGCAGCTCTTTAAGGGCTCCTTACTCTTTCACTCCCCCAAGCATTCACGTTACCTGCCCAAACCCTGCCCTCCTCCTCCCACTGCACCTACCAGTCCACACTCCAAAGCTTGCTCTGGTAAAAGAAAGGCAGCAAAATCTGTGAGCAACTGGGGCCAATCATGCAGCAGCTTCCGCAGGGTGGAATAGAGATCCACGGCCGTCCGCTTGTCCGTGCTCATCTCAAACTCGTAGATGACCCGGAGGAAGTCCTCGTACTTCCCAGGGATGTGCTGCAAGGCCTCCCGCACCTGCACCCGGCAGCAGGACCACACGTTAGCCCAGGGGAAATGTGCCCCTTTAGGAATCACAGTATCACAGTGTCACAGTATCCCAGTATGTTAGAGATTGGAAGGGACCTCATAAGCTCATCCAGTCCAATCCCCCTGCAGAGCAGGAACACCCGGATAAGGTTACACAAGGATGCATCCAGGTGGGTTTTGATGCCTCCAGAGAAGGAGACTCCACAGCCTCCCTGGGCAGCCTGGGCCAGTGTTCTGGCACCTCACTGAGAAGGAGTTTAAGTGGAACCTCTTGTGTTCCAGTTTGTACCCATTGCCCCTTGTCCTATCATTGTTTGCCACTGAGAAGAGCCTGGCTCCATCCTCGGGACACTCCCCCTTTATATATTTATATACACTAATAAGGTCACCCCTCAGTCTCCTCTTCTCCAGACTATAGAGACCCAGCTCCCTCAGTCTCTCCTCATAAGGGAGATGCTCCCCTCCCTTCATCATCTCAGTTGCCCTGCGCTGGACTCTCTCCAGCAGGTCCCTGTCCTTCTGGAACTGAGGGGCCCAGAACTGGACCCAATATTCCAGATGCGGTCTCACCAGGGCAGAGTAGAGGGGAAAAGGGACCTCTCTCGACCTACTAACCACCCCCCTTCTAATGCACCCCAGGATGCCATTGGCCTCCTTGGCCACAGGGCACAGTGTCGGCTCATGGTCACCCTGTCGTCCACCAGGACCCCCAGGTCCCTCTCCCCTACACTGCTCTCTAAGAGGTCGTTCCCCAGCCTATACTGGAACCTGGGGTTGTTCCTGCCCAGATGCAGGACTCTACACTTTCCCTTGTTCTATCCCATCCAGTTACTCCCTGCCCAACTCTCCAGCCTGTCCAGGTCCCTCTGGATGGCAGCACTGCCTTCTGGCGTGTCGGCCACCCCTCCCAGCTTAGTGTCATCAGCAAACTTGCTGATAGTACACTCAATTCCCTCATCTAAAGCATTGATGAATGTATTAAATAATACTGGTCCCAGTACCGACCCTTGAGGCACTCCACCAGATACAGGCCTCCAATCAGACTCTGCCCCATAGACTCCAACTCTCTGGCTTCTCTCCTTCAGCCAGTTCACAGTCCACCTCCCTACCCGACCATCCAGACCACACTCCCTCTATTTAGCTGCAAGGATGCTGTGGGAGACTGTGTCAACCGCTTTGCCTTGCTCCCTGAGCAGTGTCAGAGGGCTCCACGTGCCCCTGCTCCTCCTCCTGCCTTACCCTGCTTAGATAGGCTTGTGCAAACGCCAGGTCCTTCTGCTCCCGCAGGGGATCTCTCTCCAGGATGTCTTCATCGTACAAGAGCAGCAGCTTGGAGGTATCTTTGCTGGCACGAGCCCGTCCCCTCTTATTCCTGGTTCTGTGGGAGCCCCTGCTTTTCCCAGGGGCCTTCATGTTTTCTCCTAGGAAGAAGCACAAAGCAAGTTGGACAAGCCCCTGGCCTGGCAGCCAGCTCCTCTTCTAGATCAACGCTGCAGTAGGAAAGCAGGCTCCAGAGCTGGTGAGGAGTTACCTGCTTACACTCTCCTGTAAGGGTAGGAGCAATGCACTTGTAGTGAATGAGGCTCCAAACACCTTTTACATTGCCTGGCTCTTTTCATAGCATCTGGCAGGAAAAGCCTCTGGGTACAGCAGCAAAGCCATCCTAGCTGTTACTCAGACCTACTAAGAACTAACAGCTACATCTCCAGTCGTAGTGGGTGAGCAGAGCTCTGCTGTGAGCATCAGAGCTGGCTGCTAACACTTGCAAAGGGCTCTTTTAGCTCATTACTGTTGTTAGACTATTATTATTGTTATTAGCTTATTATTATTATTGTTATTAGCTTATTATCTGAATAGAGTCAGCATCCCAGATAAATAACCAAGGCAAATGAAACCCAGGGACAGCTCCCCCATCCCTTTGCTATTCACGCAGAAGCAGCTCCATTGCCCTGTGTCAAAAGAAACCCACAGGACTCACCTGCTGGGATTCTGTGGGCTTCCACCTGCGGGGCTGCCTTTGTCAACGGGAAGGCAGATTTGGGTTCCTCTGATGCATCTCCACCTATTTCATCATCTTTCTGGGAACTCTCTATTCCTTCCCCTTCCTCCTCCTCCTCTTCCTCAGGCTCCGAGTTCTCTTCCTGGGAATTCTCTTCTTCAGAATCTCCTTCTTGGCTTAAACGCCTCTTGGTTGCCAGCCAAGTCAGCTTCTCCATTGTCTCCTTCGAAAGCAACAACAAACAGCATCATCTGCTTTGCTTTCAGCATTTAACATCATCCAGCAAGCAGCTCCCTCCAGGAGCAATTACTCCGCTGGGAATCCTAACAGCCAATTCCACAGATCACGACCTGAGCAAGAGAGGGTTCCACCGAAGGGCCAGAACCCAAGCACCACCAGCTCTGTTTGTGTATTCCAGACTCTGCCACTTCCAAAAGCCTGAAGTTGGACAGAATTCCTTAATGATCACCTCAAGTCTTGCTGGAATTGTGTCCCTGAAAAGTCCTTGCTATCACACAGCTGACAGTCCAGCTTTCCAATTGGATTCCAGCTGTGATTTGCCCTGCCTCCACCGGGGTGTTTCAGGACACCAATAGTTACCATTAGCAAGGTTTAGAACCTTTTGCTTGCTCTTACCTGAAGTTCTGGCACTGAAAGAACGGATTCTTCTGATGCTGATGACATTTCTTCATCCTCATCCTGTGTGAAGTCATCAAAGTCATCTTCCTCCTCCTCTTCTTGCCCTTCTCTCTCCCCAGCAGCTTCAGGGCCAGCCGGTGTCCCCACAGACTGCCCATCTATGCTGGATGAATCCTCTGGTCTTCCCAGCGGACTGCTGAACTCTGCCTCCACATCTGCTGTGTAAGAAGGGTTCTTTGGAGACTCACTGCTTCCTTGTGCTCCAGCAACACCACCTACATCCATCTGCTGGTCACCGTGGGGAGACGACTGCAAAGGCCAGCGTTGTTCTTCTCCCTTCTTATCACACAATGGATGCTCCCCTTTCATTTCTTTCAGGTCATCTGAGCATGAGCACGCAGCCTCCATGTTCAGCTCCTGGCCAAGATCCAGCATGAATTCCTCCTTCACGTCAGCACACACAAGATCCCTCTTCTGCACCGGGTTTGCCTCCTTGGTAGCATCATTTGATTCTTCGGATTCAATTTTCACTGTTTCATCTGGATCTTCTAAATGAGGCAAAAGGTCCACAGCCAACGCCTCGGAGGTGTTCTCCTCTCCTTCCACCACTGTCCAGCTACAGCACTCGCTGTTGTTCACCTTCTCCTGACTGCCATTGCTTGCAGGGGCAGGATTTGTACTGCAGTCCTTGGGGGAGACAGCAGAGCACGAAGTGTACAGCTCTGAGGGTTCAGCCTTGGCCTCTGCTGTACTTTTGTTGCTCCCAGCAGAGCAGGCAGGAACCAGATTCAGCTGCTCCTCACTGTCACCAACAGATGATGCAGAAAGACCAACAGGGTTAGGGGACACAATGAGCGAAGGGAGTGAAGAAGTCACCAGGGGCTGATTCAATGGACAGGGGAAAGTGGAGGGATTTACCAGTAAGGTTGTAACTGGAATGGCCTGAGCGCCTCTACCAACTGTGGGATTGATGGGCTGAATCATATTGCAGCCATTGCCTATATTCACCACTTTCACTGTGGCAGCAGGTACAGTGAGGATGACAGGAGATGGCTGAATCAAAGGGGAAGTCTTGAGCAGTGGGGCAGATTTTGGCCCTTTCTTCCTCTGGTACCCCTTACGAACGCAAGGCTTGCGTGCTTTCGCTCCAGCCAAAGCTGGCAGCATCACCTTGGGCTGGAGAGGCACTGGGTTTGAGGACACAAGGGCTGGTGGTACAGCAGCTGAGAAAGCCTGTCTGGAGTCCGAGGGGGAAGTGGAGAGCACGTTCTGGAACTCCAAAGCATCCCCACTTCCTACCACGGCTGGGACGTTCAGGGGCTGCACCCCCGGCACCGTCTGCACCACTGGAGCTGGCTGGATGAGCCGGGGAATCTGCACCATCACTTTGCTGGGAGGAGCTTCTGACTGGGAGAGCTTCACAGCTCTCTGCATGTTGATGGGGTTAGCACTGGGCTGCAGGCAAGGGCTCGGTCGAATGAGGACAGGCTTAAGAGCTGAAGACCTCTGCCTCCTCCACGCTCTCCTAGAGAAGCGATTGGCAAGGGGCTTGAGGGTCAGTACGAGGCCCTTTGGCATGAGGAGAGGGTATTTTTCATCGTGTTCTGTGTCTGAAGCTTCCTTTCCTGTCCCCAGGACAGCTTCTGCAGCAGGTGAACCTGGTGCCTCCCTGGCATCTTCTGCCAATTGCTTCAGCTCCCTCTGAATGGAGGGCAAGCTTGCCTAAAGGGAACAAGAGCTTATTAGTGCAGTCCTTTGGCTACTCCTCTTACTACCACCTCCAAACAGCACCACAGAAGGCAACAGGGAGCAACCTGCTTCTAAAAGTAAAGCAGTTTTATTCTCCTGCTCATTACTGTTGCTTGATATTTGCTGTACATTACTTTATATTCAGGGGGTTTCAAAAGCCTTCAAAAGAATTCGAGAGCCTGAAAGGAACAAGAGAACTGAACTGCTTCAGAAAGGTTCCTTTAGTAAATACAAGACTGTGGGGGAAGGAAGCTTCACTGTAGCAATGAAATGCAATGGGTGATTAAGAGAACTGGATTTTATGGCATCTGAGTCTAATTCTTTCCTCAGAGACACTCCTCTGACTCACTGTGGTCACTATGCCTCCAGCTTAGTCCAACCATAAGGGTCAGTCTGTGCTGATGAACAACCTAACGAAGCCAAGCAACAAACATCAAGCAGCAAACCAAGGATCAGGTATGGCCACGCTGCCTTCAGTCAGCTTAGCAGCTGGGCAGACAAGCACTGAGAGCAGTGCCTAATCCTTACAGGCTGCTAAGTACTACTGGGCTTGCTGCATTTCCTAGCTAGGGTCAGGATAACAGAGGGTCCCTTGCAATACAAGCAGGGTACGTTTTGACTTCAGAGCTGTATCTTACCCAACAAACCCCTCTGCCCTTAGGCTGTAAAGAAAAAGGAAGAAAAACCCACCACCACCACCACCAAGAAAAGAAATGAACCAAAACCAACCCCCCCTCCCCACGTTTATAGCAGGAACTACCTTTAGCCAAAATGGGAGGCGATGCTCTTCTCTCTCCACTGGAGGCTTCCACTCATCAGGCTGGACTTCCTCACAGCACTTGAACAGAACAGGCAACTGCTTTGTCTTCTTGTAGTACTGCATGGAGAGAGGGGAGAATGCAGGATGAGGGCTGTGCTCTGCACCGGGCTGGTGCAGGATGAGGGCTGTGCCCTGTAAAAGTGTTCATGTGAATGGAGTGATTCACATTACTACTTTGATAAGGTAAGAAACATCAAGGAAAGAGCAATAAAGGCTGACAAGGGCTCGCTGCCACCGTGGGTTCTCAAAAGGAAGCAGGAAGTTCTAGCAGATGGGCACTTGCTTTAAGTGCTTCTGGTTCTTCCTCTCACTTCAAGCAGTGACTATAGCTTATGGGACCTGCTGGACACTCCCCATGGCTGCAGACAGCCCTTTGGTTTAAGCTTCACTACTTGTGTGAATTGGTCAGGATTAGTGAAGCCACAGCTGGGCTGTCTGCAAGCACTGGTCTCTTTAGAGTCAGAGCAGTAAGAGCAGTACTTGCACAGTCCAGAGGGTGAGGCCTTTCTGAAGAAATTCTCATTGCTAATAAAAGGATGATGTTGTCTTCCAAGAAAACAGAGCACAAAATGATCCTTGGAACAGCCAGCACATCTCTGCCTGCACAACAAATCAGCAGACACATGAAGCTGAGAGATACCAGCCCACAAGCTACAGGCATCACTTACCCTGATGATGTTATCAGGGGCTCGGTTCATATTGAGGTTCTTGATCCTCACTGTGAGCTGGTGGGCAGTTTTGGTTGGCAAGAGGTATTTGCTGATCAAAGGCTTTGGAAACTCCGTCCCTTCAAAATGCTTCAAACCTAAAGCTAATAAACTGAAGGAGGAAAAAGGGGGAGAGGGAAGAGAAAAAGCCTGTTAGACAGGATGGCAGACTGCTGTTTGGATGTGCTGTTGCACAGGACACAGCTAGCCCCACGGTTCACATCCTAGACACTCTCCTTAGCAAAGCAGCCCCATTCAGGTGCGTTTCCTGCAACAATTCTAAGCTCTTACTTGTCCTCTGCCTTGGTGAAGATGATCTTGTCCCGTGGAGGGTTTGCTTTCAAGGAACATATTGGCAGTAACTCGGGATACATAAAGACTCTCCTTGTTGCCAAAATCCACGCCACTTGCTTTGGTAAACATGGGAATTCACTGGCTGTGAAGAGAATTCACTTACTGTGGTGCAAGTTTAAGCAGCAAACAGGCAGTCAATGAAATGGGTGGATTTATGGACAAACACCTCACAGAATCAAAGCAAATCCATTCCAAAGAGCAGCCTGAAGCATCTCTCACCTGGAGACGGCTCTCACTGTGAACACCTCCCCATGGCTTCCCCCTTCAGATACTCACCACTCTTCTTCACAGCTTTGCGAGGGCTCCAGTCAACCTGGACTTGGGCATGAAAATCCTCAATGAGCTGCAGTGCTCCCTTCAGGTTGCAGGGCTGGAACATGGTCTGGAACTTGGGGTTGAAGGACAGGCGGAGGAGCGTGGAGCTACGAGCAAAGTTCCCAAGCTCACTCTGCCAAGGCAAAGACAGAGAAACATAAACCAAGACGCCTTCCAGTGGAAGGTGAAGACAAATGCTTTCTTTTCAGTGTTACCATGGAAACAGCAACAAAAATGACAATTCAAAGCCCTGTTATTAGTGAACACGATGGGAATTATGTCTCTAAGTCCTGAGCATGTTTGTAGTAGGCTTACAACATCATCCCCTTAATGAGGGGTAGTTTCATTTAAGGGCATCGATGAATTAATCTCTCTAAGTATCTCCAGCAACCAGCAATCATTAACATTCACTTTTAGCTCTGATTTGAGACATATCCTTACCAAAAACATCCTGGTGGTACTGGCCTCAGAACTTAAAGCAGGGTTGGAACTTGCGAGGAGATGGATTTGAGTCAGAAGCTGAACATGCTTGAAGAATAAAATCAGACAAATGGGGGTTTGTTTTCAGTGGATCAGAAATCCAAGAAACTGGAAAGCACAAGTATAGAGGCACCTGAGCACCCCAAAAATCACATTCGGACTCTAATAATCTTTTAAGCAATAGAAAGCTGAGGGCAAGCTTGAATATCCACCCAATTCCGATTGTCTTTCAGTGGAACTGGGCATGTAGGCATCACCTACAAGAGCTCCAGCTTCACACATGGCTTGTTCAACTCACTGCTCTAAGAAAGCACACCCACATGCTTGCTGCAGCACTGCCTTCCCCTGCCCCTACAGCATCCAGCAAATACCCATTAGGTCAGACCAGGTAACACTTTATCACCTGCTGCATTTGCTGCTGGAGCCTCTTTCTTTGCACACTGTCCAGAACAAGGCTCTGCAGAGGCTTCTCATTCTGAGGTTTGGATTTTTCCATCTCCTGCGGTGGCTTAATGGAGGACTTCTTCATTCTCAACTGCTCAAGCTGCTCCTTCACCGTCCGGTGTTGCTCGTTCAGTAAATTGGCCAGGGGCTCTTCAAATCTGGTTGAGACCAAAAGACAGTGGTATCCACAAGCAACAATAAGCCTAGCAAATCCATGCTTTGCCACAAAACAATCTGTATACAGATAAAACTGGGGAAGAAGCAACTGGGAGAACTGCCCCCCAAAGAACACTCACACAAGTAGCTATTGTCAAAAGACAAATGATACAAAGAGTAAGAGAGAGCATCCAGTTTCCTTGCTTCAGGTCTGTAGCTGGTTGAAGAGTTGCTGCACTCCCCTCTGGTACTGCTCATCCCAGAGAGAGTATCAAGAAACTCCAGCCTTCACTTTGGCTCCTTTCCCAAACAGATACAGCTTGATCTTGAGCTGATCTGCCCCAAAAACCAGGAGACACCATGCATGCTGCACTTCACCTTCAGCCACTTTCTGTAACTGGTTAGACTGACCCAGAAAGAAATGCTTTAGACCCTTCCTCTTCCAAGTCACTGTTTCCAGTATAACCCATCCCAGAAACCCTCAAAAGCCAACTCCCAAACTTTATCAGCATCTCAGCCCTACGCCTCAGCTATATTAAGCAGTCTTCCCTTAGAAAAGACCACCAATACATCAAAGCTCTTTAGTTAAAAGGCAAGGTGACACTTGGCCGAACCAGCTCCTCAAGCTTCTTGTCACCAAGCAGTGGCCTGTGCTCAACAGGCATTACCTCACTGGGGGATGGCACAAGAAAGCAGCAGGTACCCACAGGCATTTTAGCATAACAGTGTGATTTTCCAGCCATTCATACCCATTGACCCTACCTAAGTGCCTGAGGTGTATTGAAGTTCGGCCGTGACTCTGTAACATTATCCTCATCTTCTGGACCTTCATCTTCCATGTTGGAGAAACCCATCTCATCCTGAAACTTAGAGCAAATGTGTAGCAGCACTGAGGAACATAAAGCTTGTCTTTAGCCAATACAGCTCATGACAGTCCTCAAGCACAGACAATCTGCAGGGATTTAAGGAAGTTCCTATGTTTGTTCCTTCCCATGGCTAAAAGTGACACTTTCATAATAGGACCCCTCTGCACACAGTCAGCGCTAAGGATCTTCCTGAGACCACCCCTTTATGGCTTTAAAGATTTCATGTCAGAGCTGAGAAAGATCTGTTCTTCAGTGCTACACCAACTTCTCACTTACTGTCTCAAAGAGCTCCTCCATCAGTTCATTCACTTCCTTTTCTGCAAGTAAAATTAAAAAGCATGAAGACTCTTTCCCAAGAAACACTGTCATAATATCAAGTCACTGAAGGAATCTCTCTTCAAAAGCAAAGCCCTCCCCTTGCAAAGAAAGGACCAAGAAGGAAAGCCCCCTGATACTACACTCCTTTTTAATGCTGGACCCCAGAAAGCTTCAGCTGAGACTGTTCTGAACCAGAAATGGAATTAAGCTGAAAGTTAACCTGGGATAAGCCCTAAACCAAGTGTGCTTTGTTGAGAAGATAAAAATGCTACGTTTCTAAAACTAACTTGAAGACTGAAAGGACTTGGAGAACCCTGAACTCCACTCAAGTCACCGGGCAAGCATTCAGTTCTGTATTGGCCAAAGCTTTATGCAAGATTCTACTAGCACCTAAGCATTATTCTTCATTCTCTGCTGTGGAGTAAAGCTGCATTTGACAGCACAGCAGCCCTGGCCAGAGGCTTCCATGTATGCCCAGAAAGGCAGCTTTGCAGAGGAAAGCTCTTCAGTCAGGATGCAGATGGGTTTTAACTAGCCTAACGCAGCAAAAATCTTGGCACCAGAACACTTCTCAAAGTGAATTATTAATCACAACAAGAAGGAGATGTGATTCCCAAAGGACTCACTCGTAATCCTCACAGCACGATCATTTCTGAAGTCTTCTGTGTCTGGTTCGTCCAGATCTTCCAGGAAATTGTACTCAGGGTCATCATCATCATCTGCTTCATCTAATAAGAAACATGTTTGGAAACATCATTACCCTGCCCCAAGAGCAGCTGCCAGGAGCAGAAGCAGCTTGTTTACTGCCTGACCCAGCACCCAGAGCATCCGTATTTGTAGCCACTTCCATTTAGAAGAGGTCAATCTATTCTCTGTCACCTGAGTTTCAGCTCAGTTTACAAAGACTGAAGCAGCAGTATTTCAATTTGTGCTTTACATTCCATGTGCACAGCTGTAAGCAACTGGTAAATTGAGGACAAAAGGAAGTCAAGCCCCAGAGCTCGTTCTTGGTTCTTCTCAAAGAGCAAAACAGTTGTTTTTACCAAACCAAGTCCTGTGCTAACAAGGAGCATGATGCACTCCATAGATTCAGGCATATCAGTGCTAAGCTTCCTGACAGCAGGATGGACTAAGGGCTGAAACACATACATTTATTGATGGTTACCTTCATTCTCCACATCATCATTCATGAGTCCTCCAAGCCACCTTTTCCATTCTTCATCATCTGCAGTGTTAGGATCATACATATCAGGTGTGATATCCGGGGCTCGGAGCTCAGCCTCCAGCTGGCCAAGGGGAACATCCTTCAGTGGCCTCTTGGATCGGGTTCGGAAGGCGATGAGGCTGTCTTCCAGAGACTGAAAGATGAAGGGAAACCACAATGGAATGACAAATCTCTGCTTTTCCCAGTTTCTCTGGCAGCCAAAAACTCCCAGTATCAAAAATACGAGATTCCTGACACAAAGAATCCTTTACTTTGGTAAAGCCAAACTTTCACTCCTTTTCCTATTCAACTGCTATTGGTGATAAATATATTTTTGTTCATTTAGCTCGTGTTAAACTCTTCTCTGCTACCAAAGAAGCAATCCCCACTTGCACTATCACAACGAAGCCATGTTCTCTTTACAACCAGCTTCCTCAGGGGTTACTACAGACTTGCCTGCAAAGCCCAACTAAGCTGACAGGTTAGCTTTCAGAAGGAAAACTATCTTCACTAGTCATGTCAATGTCATAGAATTGCATTTAACAGTCAAAACAATGCTAGGGAGAGTTATGAGCAGAAGCAAAGTGTAGTTACAACACAAGAAACTAGAAGCATACGTCACTAACACCATTTTACTAACAGTTGCCTTTATTCTCCCACTGAGCTGGCGTCCTACACACTGTGGAGATTCAACCCACACTATTACAGCATCCCCAGACCAGTACCTGGTAAGAATCCATGCATACTGGGCTTGAAGCCAGTTCTTCATCCACTGCATGCAGCTTCTCCATGAACGTGCTGTCTTTGTTTTGCTTTGGTTTTGGAGGTGGTGGAGGTCCCATGGGAACTACTTCAGCACTGATATGTCTAACAACAGGCGTAGTGACCTTTTCCATCTAATTAAAAAGGCCTTTGTGTTAGAAGGGAAATGTATGTTCTAGATAAAACAAGGACAGAGCAAGTCTCTATCTGCTGGGCCAGAGCCTAATACAACAGAAATGAGAGAAATGCTTCACAGAAGAAAAGGGATTCTTTATCCTACACTCACTTTATCTTTCAGGAAGTACAAGTAAATTCACTGTTGAAAAGACATGCAGGAAAGAAGACATTTGGAAGAGCTGAACATCAGCCTCAACGTTGCTAGATCTGATAAACCTGAACACTGCCAGCTGTGGCACACTCCCAAAAGCAAAGCCATGGCAAGGAGAAGGTGGAACTATCAATCCATTATTGCTCTTTCACCAACTCCAGTGGCAGTGGCCAGTTCCCACGCATGCTTTCTCATTCTTGTCTGTTGATACTCGACTCTCACCACCCTGCACATACTCCCACTGGTTACCAGTCCCCAGAAATAACCTTTCTGCTTTTGGCAGCACCGCTTCCTCCTCCTACAAGCACAGAAAGCAACTCCCCTGCACTCCTCTCCCACATAAGCAGACAAACAATTACTATCTGAGAAGAGCCTCTTCTTTCCATTGCCAGTGGGTTTAAGTAACTCTTTATTTCGGACTAAGCTCTTTCTGCAAGGGTTGCGCTTCACTGCTCATGCACGAAGCGCTGCAGAGGGACCCTGAAGCCACGCAGCACCTGCCCCACACCACAGCCTGAAGCAGTAATGTGTCTTTTTGCTTTTGCATTAATGGCTTAGGAATGAAGGCCCAAAGTTGTTTCTAAAGAAAGCAAGTTTACCTCGCAGAGAGTCCCTCCCTCCTCATCAGAGGAGCGCCTCGTCCTAGATCGCTTTGCTCCCCGAGGAGAAGAAGCAGTGCTCTCTACATCACTTTCCAGTAAGCTCTAGAGCACAGAAGATGCAGAGGGCAATCAAACACTGCTTCAACTCATATTCCAAAGACTGCTTCTTTGTCAAATGCACACTACAGCATTGGAGACAGATTACTAGAAGGTCTGGGACAAGTTTTAACATGTTAAAATAAAGAGCATTCTGCTGCCTCAGACATGGAGACAGCTCCATCCTGAACACAACACATCTTTGTCCAAGCTGCAGTTACCTCTTCTGCAGTCTCGTCCTCATCCTCATCCTCAGGCTGGTATTCTTCATCAGATGAATCATCTTCCTCAAGAGGAATGTCCACAAACTGAGGAGGCTGCAACACAATGGAACACACAACTCTGTCCAGGCGAGAAAGAGCCGCACTCTCAGGTCAAAGGTTCCCAGCTGAGGAAATGCCCTGAAGCTCAGAAAGGAAGGAAAGTGCTGAGAAAGGCTGAAGAGACCAAAGCAATTACTGAAGTACAACTGGTAGAGCAAAGGAAGTGCTTTAAAATGCACAAAATATCCACATTTGTAGGATGGAAACACTGCATGAACAGACACTATCTTAGAGATGTGTTTCTAGCACCTGAATGGCCATTCCCTCCTGCCACACTGCTGGATCCTGCCTACACCAAGGCAAAAAAAGCCCCGAGATCCAGGCTGTATTTCCAGACAGTCCTACAGTGCACAGAACTGAGGTCTGGGCACTAACATTCACCAGCAGAAGTTTCATCCAGGTAGAGGCTGCTGCAGTACCAATGTGGGAAGCTGAAAAGACATCCCTCATTGCATTCTGTCTTCTAAAGGCAGTTCTTTTGGGCCCTCTGTGCACCCACTGCTGTGTTAACTGCCCTGTCCTGCTTGCAGTGCTCCCTGTCACTGTATTGGCCATGTTAGACATGAATCTGCTCCACCTCTCCAAAGGATTCCTTGCTTTCAGGGTGCCTCCAGTACAGTCTCCCACTTCCCAGCAGTAGCTGACTTACCTTCACCTCATTTGCCTTCTTAATTGGAGAAATATTCCACGTTGGAATCACCTAAAGAGAGCAGAAGCACTTTAGCTGGCTCTGAAAAGCATGGTCTGCACAGCTTAGATCTCTTACAGCAAATCAGTACTGGAGCTTGAGGCCTTGCTCTCCAAAGTAGCCAAGTAACAACAGACTTCCAACAAAGGCTTTCTGAGCTGCCCCTGTGATCCCTGCACAGTAACTTCAGGACACTGCCAACTCACTGCATTTTCTAACCCTGGCCTGGTTCTACTCTGCCCATCTCAAAGTTTTACACTGCTTTAACTTATTTTTCTCACATGAAGAATACATCACATAAAAGCACACTTTACACCTCCTTTAGAAGACCCAACTACCAAAGCCATTTGGGCAGGGGGAGGCCGCAATAGTAAAAGCAGATCATGTACTTACCACTCCTTTCTCCACAACTTCCTTCAGTTTGGAACGAGTCATTTTGGGCTCCTGAGGGTTTAAAAGAAGACAACAGCAACCTCTTCAGCTGCTTTTCTTCACTGCAAACCTTCCTCCAGCAGCTCTGCACTAAAGGCTTTCCTCTTCTTTAAATTCACTGCCTTTTAGGCAGGATCAGAGTGACATCAAAAATAACCCCTCACAATCCTGTTTCCTCATTTACACTCATACACAGACACTACTCACTTCATCCAAGTGGTAATGAAACATCAGTTATGGTCCTACCTATTCTCTCCATACCACATCATGGACCCACAAGATAGACTGGTGAAGGTATCATGCATTTGGAACAACAGAAACCCCTTTTTACTTACAAACAAAGGGATATCTTCTGTCTCACTGATGGCTGCTTTCATCATGGCAACCACATGCTCATTTGTGATCACTTCCTACAGGAACACACACAAAAAGGGATCTTTTACATTGTTAAAAACTTAAGGTTAAGATAAACTCGTTAGAAACACGATGGAGAAATAGTCAGGGTACAACAGACTTTGTAACTCTGCAAGAACACAGAAAGACTGGACAAGAAACTCTGGAGTAAGCATAAGGAGGGATAACAGCATCTGCAGCACGCTGCCTGGGAAGGTTCCCCAGACCAGATTCCCAGCAGAAGGAAAGAAAACAGCTGTAGGAAAAGCCCACCCCAATCCCCTTCCTTCATGTCACATCAGGAGGAAAACCACCCCAGCACATGAGAAATGCTGCCATGAAACTGCAGCAGCTTCCAAAGGGGTCAGGGTCTAATTCTCTAGAGAAAGCACGGAATAATCTGTGCTTGCAGCATCACGGTCCATCATTTCAGACAACGTTTTCTGGACTCCGACGGAAGGCAGGAGGGAGCCGGTATCTGAGCCTCCATCTCCCGAATGCCACCATAAGGTTCCAGGGAACGTAGGCGACTCTGAGACATTTACAGCCCCCACACGGTGCCGTGTGACAGGGGAAGATTCATTTATGGCACAGGATCAGCTGGTGCCTCTGCCTGACAGAATCGTGGCAGCCTCCAACGGGTGGGCCACAGGGATGGCAAGCAGGGAAATCCTTGAGCTGTCCTGCATTGGAACAGTACCTGCACTAAATAAACCCAAAGCAAAGGGCACACACACGAGCCTCAGATTCAAGTCTAGGGTGCACTGTCTCACAAAGCTGAGCACCTCCTTCCCTGTCACAGCCCTCCACACTCACATGCAGGATGTTCCTCACGTTGACAACTGTCAGGTTGTGCTGCTTGGCTCCATCTTCTAAGGTGCGGTCCAGGGTATCGTCCAGTTTGATGTCACAGGACAAGGACCCCTCCTCCTCTGGACTTTTCCCTTCTCTTTTCCGTTTGGTTGCCTTCCTCCTCCTCTTCCTTCTTTCAATATCCTCTCCCTCTTGCTCCTCTGCAAATGGATAAACACAGAATCACCTTCCCATGCAGCACATCCTCATTTAAACCACCCCAAAGCCAACAGCTACAGCTCTGCAGCTACTGAAGTGACAGCGGCTTTTCCAGAGGAGATCATGGGATGCAAATGGCCAGAAGTACCGGGACTGAACGTGAACGTGTGAATGATGGATTCAAACTCTGCAAGACCACTGGAGCAAGCCCAGGTTACGTGTTTGCCATCCCTATTGGCTTGAGCTTACACAAGGGTCTCAGCAGCCCTTTTACCCCTCTTGCACATGGAGGTGTTTTAAGTAACGCACACCCCAAACCCTCCTCTGCCTCACCCGTCTGCTGGGGCCCCTCTCCAGCTCTGCTGCTCCGCAGCGGCTTCACCACAGCAGGATTCCGAGCGGGGACCTGCACAGAGCTTCTCCCTGGAGCCTCCTGCCCCGGGGCCTGGCTTTCAGGCAGGCACAGGTCCCTCTGCGCGCTCCCTTCCACCTCTGGGCACAGCTTGGGCATCCTCCCTGCGAACAGAACACACGGAGGGCGCTGCGCTGACCCCACGCAGAGCACAGCCACGAGGCTGCTGCACTCCATAAAGCTTCCCATGACCCATCCAAGCCAACAGCCCTGGGGAAGCGATCCAGGCAACATTAGAGGCTGATTTCCTCAAGCCAGGGTTGTGCTCCCTGTTGCAGGATGCAACTGCAATGGGAACCAGCAGCCAGGGAACACCGTAGCCATGTTAGGGAGCCACCTTAGGCCGGTTTCAAACCCCACCAGTGCTGACGGGGGGGGGCTGCACAACCCCTGCTCCTGTTTCAAGCCAGTCCTGATGTGCTCCCAGAGGGTCAGGGAAAGGGAAGAAGAGAGCAGGCAGTGTGGGAAAGGGAGCACAACCACTTGTTCCAATGGGGTTAAACATTGGCCCACTCAGCGCCACTGTGGGGGGGAATCCCTCTTGAGCCCCATGCTTGCACTGAGCCTCAGAGCAAGCTTCCTCGGGCTGTGCCTCACTGCTACAGCCCCCAAAGGGCCAAACCCAGGGCCCGGACTGGGAAACCGGGGCTGAGTTTGCAGCATTGTGGCTGTGAGGCTGGAAATAAGAAACCGAACCAAAGCGGCTCCGGGAGCCCTCGGGGCTCGGCAGCACTAGCACTAGCACTAGCACTGACCCTAACCCACCCTAACCCTAACCCTCGTGTTTTAAGGGAGGAGAAGGCCCAGCCTCGGCAAGCTGGGCCCCTCCCGTTCATCTTTAACCCCTCAGGCCCCCCCAACCGCGCACCCCGCGGTTCTAAGCTCCGGTGCTGAGGCGCTCCCCGGGCCGGCAGCGGGGCAACGGCGTGCGGAGAGCCCCCAGCACCCCGCGACCCGCTCCGGCCGCCTTTACCTTCTGCTGCCGCCGCTTCGGGAGCGCCGAGGCCCTCAGGGAGCTGGGTGCAGGCCTCCTTCGGGCCCGGCCGCTTCCCGCCCTTCAGCGAGGCCTCCCCGGGACCCCTCCACACGCCCGGGCCGCCGGAGGGCAGCGCTCCGGCCCGGGCCGCCGACGCGGGCTTGGCGGAGGAGCCGCCGCCGTCCGAGGAGGAGCTCCCGGGCGGGTCCCCGTCGTCCCGCGGGCTCTGCGGCCCCGCCACCGCCGCCCTCCGCTTCTTGCAGGGCAGCATCTTCAGCGACAGCGCCATGGCGGCGGCGGCGCCCGCCCGGAGCCCAGCACCGCGGCTCCCCGGGGCCCGGGCCCGACCCGCCGGCTCCGCAGGAAGCGGAAGCGCCGCGGGGCCCGCCCGCCGCGCAGGCGCAGTGCCGCCATGTTGGCCCGGCGCGGGCCGCTCCGCCGCCATGTTGGCGGCGCGGGGGCCGTCAGCCCCGCCGTGACGACGCGGGGCAGCGGGGGCGGCCGCCGCCATCTTTGCTGCGCGCCACCGCCCCGCAGGGTCCGCCCGCGGCGCGCATCGGGCACGAGCACGGGCACAGGGAGGGGGGAGCCGCCGCACGCGCACTCGCGCCCCCGCCGCCCCTCCGCTACCGCCGCGGTGCTCGCCCGGGAGGCGCGGCCTCAGCCCCGGCTCTTGCCGAGTCACCGCCGGGCGGCCGAGGGGCGGGGCCGGGCCGAGGGGCGGGGCCTGCGCCGCACCAGGACCAGTCGGCAGCTCCTGCATCCCGGGCTCCGAGCATCCTCCGCGCGGGGGCCGGCAGCGCGGCGCCTCCGCATCCCGGCCTCAGCGGGGCCATGGCGGAGATCACCAGCGTCCACCCGGGCTTCGGTGAGTGGCGCCGGGCGCCTCCCTCCATCCCAGCCGCGCTCGGTGCGCGGAGCCCCCCTCGGGCCCGCTCCGGCCTCCGCCGCTGGGGCGGTGCCGGCGCTCGGCCCCGCAGCAGCAGCGGGATCGCGGTTGGGCCCTGCGGGCGGTAGCGGGGCCCGAAGGGGGCAGGAGCGCGGTCCCCGCCGCAGGAGGCGGTGGCGGGGCCCGGCCGCGCCGCGCCCCGGCCCCTTTGTTCGCACCTCCCCGGGGGCCGGGGCGGCTGCGGCACCGAGGCGGGGCCGGCCGGGGGGGGGGGGGGGATGCTGCGGCGGGCGGGGCGGGGGCGGCGGCCGCGGGGCTGGGGGGGTGCAGGCGGGCGGAGGGGCCCGGGGGAGCCGGGAGCGGCGGTGAATGGAGGAGATGGCGCGGCCGGGCCGGGGCTGCAGCGCCCGGGGCTCGGTTGGGGTTTCCAGGCCGGAAGGTTCCAGGCCTGCAGCGAGCGCTGCCCTTCCCCGCGCACCGCGAGGCCCCGGTGCCTCCAAGCTGCGGTACCCAGCGGCATCCTCCGGGCTGGAGCACAGCGCGATTCCTCCCCTGTGACACCGCTGCTCCCTGCCATCAGGAGCCACGTGCTGGCATCATGGAGCCAGCGGCCACCATTAGGGTGGAATTCACAGCCCGGTTCGAAAGGAAGTTTCCCATTCTTTCCCGTTAACTCCAATGCGATTCCATCCTCCCCCAACACAGGGCATGGGTGTTGGATGGAGGTACAGCATCACATCGGAGCACAGACCTCTCCTGCAGGGTTTGAACTCGAAGGGGTGGTTCTGCGCTTGCCGAGAGAGGAAGGAGGCTGCGGTGCCGTTGAAATGGACGTGGTGCAGAGCAAAGCTGCAAACCCACAGCTAAAACCGGGCTTAGGCAGCTCTACCCAGGGCAGTTTTCAACGGGGGAGAATTACAGAGACCGGGCTAATGAGTGGGGGCAATGAGGGCCTCAGGAGGAGCTTCCAGCCAGGACAGGAGCAGGGAACCGCTCATTTCGGAGGGGGTTTGTTAATGGGACAGATTCCTCTTGCTTGGGGCTGCTCCTGCGGTGGGGCTGAAGTCAGTGCCCATTGCAAACCATTGCAAACCCTCGCAGGGGAGGTTTCTCCCTTGCCAAAAGCGCCTTTGCCATTGGAGTAGAGGGGAAAACCAGTTTACTCCTGAGCCTGTTGGGTGCTCAGGCTCGATTCTGATCCTCACCTCCATAAACAGAGATGTGGGCAGGAACTGAACGTGCAGGAGCCCTCTGGAGCCCCAGGGGTGATGTGGGCGCATCCTCATCTCCTCTTCAGGGTTCAGAATGAAGATGGCAAAACCAGAGCTTGGCTTTGGCCCCCTCTCAGTTCAGCTGCTGCAGGTTGTACCCTTGGAGCCTCACAGAGCAGAAGAGCAATCCCTTCCATGGTTAGTAAAGCAGTGACACAACAGGGAGTTAGGGGAAGCCTGACTCCATCTCCCCTATCACCTCCCACCAAGGAACCGAAGCAGCAAAAGGAGCTCTCCCTTCTCTTCCCTTGTCAGACTGAACAAACCCCGCTCTTTCGCCCCCTCCTTGTCCCTTCTCCATCTGCTCCAGCTTCTTATGCATCTTGGTGGCTCTTGGCTGGGGTTCCCTGAGGGTTAGGACAAAGGCATCAACCAGTTCAGGCCGCAGGGATTAGACCCGGTCCTGTGTTTGTTACCCCATTCCCGTCGGTCAGAGGGAACTGGGGGATGTTCTGAACAGGGCATTAAACCCCAAAGCTTCCTGCAAAGCAGGAGCCCCATTCCCATGGAGATGCTGCTGATGGAGGAGATGCGAGCAGGGAAGCACTTGCTTGACCTTCCCAACACATGAAACCCAACGCAGGCCTTAGGAGTGTGAAACGTTTCCCATGTGGGGAGCCTTAAGTTATAGGCTTTGATACCCAGATCACGGCCTGAGGCACTGGGTCCATCTCCATCCCCGTGTGCTTGGCTCCAGGGGGCACAGGCCGGTTCCTGACTGCCTTGTCTCCTCTGCAGATGTGTCTCCAGTGGTGGCAGGCCTCATTGGTGCTACTGTCCTCGTGGTTTCTGTCTCAGTAACAGTGTTTGTGTGGACATGCTGTCACCAGCAAGCAGAAAAGAAGCACAAAACCCCCCCGTACAAGTTCATCCACATGTTGAAAGGCATCAGCATCTACCCAGAGACCTTGAGCAACAAGAAGAAAATCATCCGCATCCGGAGGGACAAGAGCGGCGCTGCCAAGGAGGCAGGAAGGGGGAGCCCCTCGGTGGGTGCTGCTGAAGCCGGTTTAATGGGCTCTGAGAAAGCAGCGGCCGGGCCAAACGCGGCCCCTCGCGTGGAGCAGCTCCCCATCCAGGTGGATTACGGGGATGAACCCAGCCCGGATCCGAGCCTCACTCCGGGAGGGAGCAAAACGTCATCACCGTCATCACCAGGGGATGAGGTCCTGCTGGGCGAGCTCACCTTCTCCGTGGACTACAACTTCCCCAAGAAGGCGCTGGTGGTGACCATCCAGGAGGCACGGGGGCTGCCGGTCATGGACGAGCACACGCAGAGCTCCGACCCCTACATCAAGATGACAATCCTGCCCGACAAAAGGCACCGGGTGAAGACGCGGGTGCTGCGCAAGACCCTGGAGCCGGTGTTCGATGAAACGTTCACCTTCTATGGGATCCCCTACAGCCAGCTCCAGGACCTGGTGCTTCACTTCCTGGTGCTCAGCTTCGACCGCTTCTCACGGGATGATGTGATCGGAGAGGTCGTGGTGCCGCTGGCAGGGGTGGATCCCAGCACCGGGAAGGTGCAGCTCAGCAGGGAGATCCTCAAGAGGAACATACAGGTGGGACACCATGGGTGCCGTGCCCCTAGGGTACAGGGGATGGGTGCTGGGTGAGGTACAGGTGATGGGTGTTGGACGGAGGTACAGGTGATGGGTGTCAGACGGAGGTACAGATGATGGGTGTTGGGTGGAGGTGCAGGTGATGGGTGTTGGATGGAGGTACAGGTGATGGGTGTTGGATGGAGGTACAGGTGATGGGGTGTCAGACGGAGGTACAGGTGATGGGTGTTGGATGGAGGTACAGGTGATGGGTGTTGGATGGAGGTACAGGTGATGGGTGTCGGATGGAGGTACAGGTGATGGGTGTCGGACGGAGGTACAGGTGATGGGTGTTAGATGGAGGTACAGGTGATGGGTGTCGGATGGAGGTACAGGTGATGGGTGTTGGGTGGAGGTGCAGGTGATGGGTGTCAGATGGAGATACATATGATGGGGTTAGATGGAGGTACATACAATGTGTATTAGATGGGGATACATATGATGGGGTTAGATGGAGGTATACATGATGGCTATTAGATGGAGATACCTATGACCCCAGAATTGCATCTGACCCCCCATAGATGACTGCACTGAGCCAAGCCAGCAAAGGTGCATGCCCTGCTTAACACCCCCTTGTTTCCGAAGAGTGCAAACTGCAGTAACTGCACCGAGTTCAAGCCATGGTTCCCTTCCAGGGCCAGGCCTGTGTGCATCCTCCATCAGGAATGTCACAGGAGCAGCAGCCTCTGTTCCTTGTGCTGGAAGCTCTGCCTGAAGCCCCCAGTGATAACCAGCACTGAGGCCTGCCCAGCCGGGCTTTCCCCACTGCACTTGAAGGAGGCTTCACCTCGGGGGGGGATCAGAGCATTTCAAGTGACAATTCCTGTGGTGCTCCCCCAGTTCCTGCATTGGGAACCCCCCCCTTGCTCTGCCATGTTCACAGGCCCAGGCTGGGCCCTGAGCTGCTGCCATTGCCTGCGCCTCCCAGTGCGGCTGCTGGGGCCCTGGGCACAGGAAGGGGATGTTGGCACCCAGGGATGTTGGCACCCAGGGATGCTGGTACCCAGGGATATTGGCACCCAGGGATGTTGGCACCCAGGGATGTTGGTACCCAGGGATGCTGGTACCCAGGGATGTTGGTACCCAGGGATGCTGGTACCCAGGGATGTTGGTACCCAGGGATGTTGGTACCCAGGGATGTTGGTACCTGTGTGTGTGGGAGCCGCTGGTGCTGAGGGCCTCTCTCTGCTTCCCCTCCCCAGAAGTGCATCAGCAGAGGGGAGCTCCAGGTCTCCTTGTCCTACCAGCCCGTGGCTCAGAGGATGACCGTGGTGGTGCTCAAAGCCAGGCACTTGCCCAAGATGGATATCACCGGCCTCTCAGGTAGAAGCTATTTTCTCCCCCTCGACATGAGCAGAGCAACGAATGTCCCAAGGCCCCTCTGAGCTCTGCTCACCTGCACGGCTCACACCCACTCATGTACACAGGGATGCTCTGTGCCCCATGCACGTGCACATCAGGGATGCTCTGTGCCCCATGCATGTGCACATCATGGATGCTCTGTGCCCCATGCATGTGCACATCAGGGATGCTCTGTGCCCCATGCATTCCATGAAGAACCAAAGCTCT